TTGTGTATTTGTACCACCATCTCTGGCACTGCAGAGCTATACCCGCTCACCTGATACACCTCCCCCGTAACCAGTCCTTACCCTGTTGCTGCCCCTCCCTCAGCAACGCGCGCTTCACCCCACGTGTCCTCCCCCTACCCCATCTGGTTGCTTCCTCACCCCACCTAAGCTCCCATTCGCTGGGCCTGGCCCCCTGCATCAGGGCCTCCCACCCCACTCTCCGTACTCAAGTCCTTGCCACCTTGCTTGGGTCCCCCCCTCCTGCACAGAGTGGCCCCAACGTGTGTACACCTTCCTCACCCTGCTCAGGCCCTGACTGCCCAGAGCGGCCACCCCATGCAAGGACATCCGCAAGCCCGCTTGACTTCACCTCCCCATGAGTCATCATCTCCCCCCGCATTGACACACTCCACACACAGCTCAGGCCCCGCCTCCCCACGTCAGGTGCCCCCTGCACGTGCGTGCACGCGCGCACACATTCTGCTCAGGCTCTCACACCCTATGCTCCCAACATGCTTGGGACCCCACTCTCTGCATCGGGCTGGCCCCCAGCACTGCTGCCCTTCTCACTCTGACACCCCAAGCCTGGCGGCATCCTCTGCTCAGACTCAGACACCCAGCGCTGGAGGCTCCCTACGCGTGGGTACCCTACTTGGCCTCCAGCTTTCCCATAGCAGGCAGCTCTCCTCGCGGGGGCCCCTCATCCCACGTGGCCCCGCACCCCGCTCTGGGCTCCCCCGCTCTCCCCAGCAGCGTGCACTAGTGTTTGGCTCTGCTCTACCTAAAGTCTCCAGGATGGCACGAAGGGAGGGGAAGAAGGGGAAGGGGCCACGACTGTTTTTAATAGTATTTATTTTCCCTTTTGTTTTGGCAACTAGAGGGAAATATTTGACAGAACGAGTGGGTACACCAATCTTACCTTGAGTTTTCTCTTGATTCCTTTTCCTCTTTGTTCTAACTTGCACTGTTACTTAGGTTTATCCTTTGGTATCTCATAGGCTGTATTTTGGCCAGTCACCTCTAATCCTCTGTGGGAAGTGCAGGGCACACATAAAAACGTGAAGCAGCGGGCAATCCTGAGAGGACCGGGACTTTTTTGTGTAGCTACACATCCCGGCACCTAATGCAGTGAAAGTCACAGTGACTCTGAAAACGCTTAACGACCAAGAACATAACAGACAAAGACACCAACCAAACAGAACAGAAGGGATCTTATCCAGGGGCAGAGTCCTGGAGGACCCCCGCTGTGCTGAGTAGTAAGCCTTCAGTTGCTGAACTGTGTGTGTGTGGCGGGGGGAGATGTCTGAGGGGTCTCAGAGAAGGGTCCTTCTGGAAGGAGGATGTTACTCAGAAGGTTTAGAGCAGCAGCTATTTACCGACCAGCATGGAAGCACTTAAATATTTTTACAACAGTAGTAATTTGTTGAATAAATAAATATTTTCAGTGGCCTTTAAGGTTTTCACTGTGACATACCTTGCTGTCTAAGTTATTTAGCAAAAGCAGGGGTAGTTCTATTCGATACCACAAACTTCTCCTCAGGGAGAGGCCTGCGAAAGGTCAGAAGCACACACACACGTCAGCACAGCTGTGCCAGACAATTGAGGCTGCTCGGTCCGCATGTCAGCAAGAAAAAGACGGAACAAGATGACCTCCAAACTTCCTCTAGGGAAAGCCAAACACGTGTATTTATCACCTTCCACCTTTCAAGTACCCCTCTCTTGAGTCTCCGTCTATTCACAAAGGCTAGACAGGTTGCCTCCTCTTGCAGAGGGAATGGTCCTGGTCCCCACTTCTGGCTATTTGAAAATAAAATCGTTCTAGAGCTTCTAGAAGTTTCACACACATTCCTTCTGTTTAGAACACATCACTACATGGACGGCTGTAGCATTTGCAAGACGCGGCCATAGCCTCTCGGCTTCTCCTCTCCCGTTGCATCTGGTCAGCCTCGAGGACTTGTTTATGACCAACAGACAGCGGAAGTGCTGCTGTGGGACTTCCGAGGCCAAGATGGAAATGCCACACGGTCCCACCCGGCCTTCTTGGACATTCACTCTGGCCGGTAAGGAGTCAGCAAGTCCACTGCCTGGTAAGGAGTCCGACTGTCCTGAGAAGCGCCCTCAGCTTGTGGAGCTGCAGGGATCACACACATGTGCTCTGCTGGGAGGCCCAGCTGCACACCTGGCGCCCAGCCAGCAGCAGCCGCCAGCACGCGAGTGGGACACCCAGCCCGGCAGAGCCTCACTTCCATGTTTGACCGCAGCTGCAGGACAGACCCCAAGCAAGAACTGCCCAGCAGAACCCTCCCCCAAACTCCCAACCCACAAAATCCCCAGCAAGATACAATAGTTGTCATCACACCCTGAAGTGTATGGATAATGTATTATATGGCCACAGAAACTGGAATGACCAAAGAAATATTTTCTGACGAGTATAGAACTCGTCAGAAAATACAAGTAAGTACAAGGTGATAAAGGTGATAGACACCTTTGTACTTCCAGTGGAAGACAATTTCAGACCTAAGTTGTATTAGCAGGAGAGACTAGGTTACACTATGGTAAAATAATTAACTCTGAAATCTCTGCAGGTTCATTCAACAAAAATGTTTTTCCTGTTCAAGGATTGGTGAGGAATTCTGCTCTCTCTGGTGAGTTAGGGAACCAAGCCCCTGCATGTGGTAACAACTTCATTTCACAGGTTTACACAGCAGGTGACAATGATTCTCAAATGACTCCACCTTAAAGCATATCTTCATTCAGAAAAATGTGTCATGCTATCCCTGCAATACCACTTTTAAAAATTACCAACTAGCATAAACTGGTGGCCTCCAGTACCCACCTTCCATTTCCTCCTTTTAATTATACTAGGCCCCAGGTTTTAGCAAGGCATGTAAGTGCCTAACTACAGACTACACTTGAGGTCGAGTGTGCCATGTGACCAAACCAACGACAGGAACAGGAGTGATATGTTTGGTTTCGAGATCACCCCCTGAAGATACCTGCCCTGTATTCTCTCTCTGCCTTTGGTGAGGCCTGGAGCTACCCTGTAAGTCATATGTTACTGACAGCAGAGCTGTGCCATCAGCCTGGGACAGCTCATCTTAGACTGAGAATAGAAAAATGAAATCTACCCAGTCAAGACATTTTATGTTTTACAGAGAGCAGAGACTAATAATGGGGTATGTGGCATACTAATGCAGCAGCTAACTAACCACTCTTCACAACTCCTCCTATCACCTACCTTCATTTTATACTGACAAACATCTTCATTTCCCCCCTTTAATCTGGACTTTTGAATTCACTTTTACATTACTCAACTTCCACTATTTTTTACTTAACTGAACTTCTAACTCACAGTGGCTTCCTTTGAAGGCCTGGGTTCTCTGATGTAGAACACAGACAGTATAGTGTGGGAGAGAGATGAGTGCATTCAAGGGCTGAGGATCCTGCTTCTCATCCTGGGGAGGCTTAGACAAGCCCTCAAGTCCACTGAAACAAAGACTTGCAGCCAAAATTAACCTCCTAAAAAAGGGATAAAGGTTAAATATTAGGCCTTGTTTAGCTCCTTTGTCTACTATCTTATGGCTTCCCCACCTGAAATTTTAAACTCAGCTAATCCAATGAAGGCAATCTGGCGCCATGGCTAACAGTGCAGATCCTGGAATCAGAAAAAACCTGGGTTTGAACCCCACCTTTGCCATGTCCTACATATGTGACTTCAGGCAAGTTAACTATTCTAACTACTTGCCTGTCAAATGGGGTTAATATAGCCCTCAAGGGTAGCTATGAGAATTAAATAAGGCACGTCTAGTATTTCGTATACTGCCAGAGGACACATGCTGGTAGTTATGATAACCTGATGCCTTTCTATGTGCTTTCCTTCTGCCTAGAATACCTTACTCCCCTTGTCCACCTGGGGATTCCTTCACATTCATTGTAACTCATGCCCTGCGATACCTTACCACCTCCTTGGCCTGCCAGGAGCAATCAATCTCATTTCCTTCATTGCACAACTAAGAAGACATGTTAATTCTGCTTATCCCAGTGCACTGTAAGCAGCTGCCCCTCCTGACCGCGGGCACGGCCATACCTTTCTTACTCACTGCTGAATCCAAGCCCTCAGTGGAGTACACGCGGTAGGTTCTCAAATATATTTGCAATGTAAACTGAATAAATCCTTGGGTTCATGCTGGAACCAAACCCCTCCTCTCTCCTGGATTGGGAATGAGGCCTGACTATGAATTATGTCATTCTTTCTATCAAGAGACTTGTCCTACCAAAATAATTTAAATCGAAGCATAATTGGTAATACTGATATTCCAAAAGCAGTTATCTGAACATGAACATCTACAGATAAAGGCTCTCTAATGAGAATGTTCTTGTCTAACACTTCATGTCTTTTTTCAGGAATTGTTAGCAGATGCCAACTGAGAAGATCTGAGAAATCACAGTCAGTAATTGAAAATGTATTGCCTTTGTAATAAGGAACAAGTTATTAGAATTTTAAAGATAGAAAATAATTATAATACTTAGCATGTATATGGAAATTCTTACTTTATAAAGTCTTGTCACTTGTTTCTTCCAATTGCCTTGTGACAGCGAAACAGTGTGTTCCTATTGCATGGAAAGTCGTACATGGTCAATAAATACTACAGCAAAGACGCAAATCTGTTTTGGCCAACTTCAGTGGCCTTTGTATAGTTGAACCCAGACTTCAATAAAACATATTTTCATTATTATTTGCAGTTTTCTAGAGGGAATTCAGTGGCCTTTGTATAGTTGAACCCAGACTTCAATAAAACATATTTTCATTATTATTTGCAGTTTTCTAGACGGAAAGAGAATATATCTATAGATCCATCCTTGAAGAGAACCAATTTTGCCATTTCCCTGAAAGAACTTAATGGAAGTTTCTGATGACAGCGGCAATATGTAGCCTTCAAAAGTAAAACACATTTTAAAAGAGAAATTTACAATACCAAGGATTAAAATAATTAAAATACCTCAATGCAGATGTGATGCATTCCTCCAGCCTTGTTTTTCTGCAGAAAACCCGCAACTGGACTATCATTTCCCAGTGGATGGAGCAGTTCCATCTTGGTATTTCCCAGGTTGACAAAAACAACGGATACTCCATGCTCAGGAAGAGGGACCGTCTCACCTACCTGGGCCCCGAGAACGTTCTTATAAAATGCCTTGGCCTCTTCCAAGTCTGGCACTGCTACTGCGACATGATTGAGTCGACCGAGGTTCCATACAGGACCAGCCACTTGATGCGAGGACAGGGACATGGAAAAAGTTCTTACTGTTGGAACTGGAGTTTGAAGTCTGGGGAAAAGCCCTGAAAAATGGAGCAGGCGTTGAGATCCTTCTTCTGAGAACTGATGCCCTTCTAAAATTTAATTTTTGGAAAAACAAAATATAGTCATATATGTAAAAATTATTTACATGCCTTTTCTTTTTAATTAGTGAAATTAAATCAGAGTACAGAAATGAAAAAACTTATGTCAGAATTACGCACTCCACTCTGAAATAACTGTCTGGAATTAAAAAGCTAATTCTGAGCTTTCTAAATTCAGGACAAAGGATGACATTTTTCATAATAATTTATATTTACCAATAACACTTAAAGGATAGCTGCATCTCATTAAGGATTACTTGCTATTCTCTGCATTTTATAAAGGGTAAGTTTGAATGTGATAGTGAAACGACATACATTTAATGATGAGAGCAAGCAATTTTGTTCTCTACCTACAACCAATTTTTTGTCTTACGTTCTGCAGTAAGTTCATTGAAGTTAGAACTATAAATACCTTTTAATGTGTACTTTATTTGGATGATTACCAACTAAGGAAAATATCTCATTATTGGGGGAAAAACAAGCAAAGATCAAGAGGGTACTTAAACTTACGAGAGTTTCCTCTGAGTGATTTTTTAAAATTGTTCTTATAATTTAGAAGGATTAGAAGCAGAACTGCTTCTAATGTGAAGAAACCTTTCATTTGGAAACTGAAGCAGGCTGCGATGTGTTCTCCCCATGCGCTACTATTTCTTCAGTCCCCAAAATACTGGACTTTAAGAGCCAGATTCTCCGCAGAATGAAAACTATATACATGTACGAGGTCTAACTATAATCCTGCAAAAGTACATCACTTAATAAAGTATGAAACAGCAAATTGAAGAATACATATTTTAAACAAAGGGTTATTAGCTCTTAATGAAATAACACTTTAAATAGTACCTAGTATTACAGAGCTTCAGCTAACATAAAATTAATTCCCCTTTACTAAAATTTTTGATACCAGGGAAATTAAAGTGGCACTATTTGATCAGATTTAAGACCATATATACCTTGTCGGGAAGGCAGTCTCTTCAGCCGCAGGAGGATGGGCCTCAGGCCTGGAATGCTTCCTCACCAAGAGATAAAGAGCCCACAGCCTGAGTGGCTCTTATCACCTTGTGGGGACTCTCCCTCTTTCAGACTTTGTCTCTGCTTAAAGCATGACTGTCACAAGGCCAACTCCATTGTCACACCTGTCCTCCACAGGGAGAGGACAGGGTTCCTTGGACTGTGACAAAGGGGAACGTGTACAGGCAAATTGTCCTGCTCTGGCCACTGGGAGAGGCCCGCTGGCTGAGGGGGACTGACAACCGATACTGAGGTCATCCAGCTCTGTCTCTTCTCTATGCACTGTCCCACCTGGTCTTGTGTTCTCCTTGGTGAGTCCGGTTCTTTGGACTCACTGTGTCATCATGAAAGTCAAGTGTACTCCAAACTAGTACACACAGACATAAATGTACCATTGAAATCAAATTTTATAAAAAGAATACCTAATCCTTACTAGATGTGATGTGCTCTAATATTTTCTGTTCTACTGTATTTTATTTTAGCTTTTTAAAAAATACTGGTACTGGGCTTCCCTGGTGGCGCAGTGGTTGAGAGTCCGCCTGCCGATGCAGGGGACACAGGTTCGTGCCCCGGTCCAGGAAGATCCCACATGCCGCGGAGCGGCTGGGCCCGTGAGCCATGGCCGCTGAGCCTGTGCGTCCAGAGCCTGTGCTCCGCAACGGGAGAGGCCACAACAGTGAGAGGCCCGTGTACCGCAAAAAAAAAAAAAATACTGGTACTACCCACTAAATCTACCTTGCTGGTTTGTTGTGAAAATTAGACATTTGATGTAAAAAATATAATACTACAGTGCAGGACATTTGTAACAAGTGTACAGTAAATTCAGCCATTCTTATTGTTAATGACACACAGTGACTGTTTGCTGGTTGAGTGGCATGCAGGGTTCTGTGGAGACCAAGAAACTATCTGAAGGACATGGTGGCAGTGAATTTTAAAAATGCTAACAACCAACAAAACCATCAGTCAGACTGCTCTTCCTTTCCTTCCTTGCATCTCTACTATGTGTGCAATTTGCAATGAAAGTTCAATATAGAATGTATCTGTAGTAAAAAAATAAACTGGAGATACAGTCAATGAGCTGTAAAGTGTTGTTTGCTCTGTGAAACTTTAAGAGTATGTCAAACAGTGAGTCTGGGTACTTCTGAATTCTCCTTACCAGTGATAACTTTACAAGAGATGGGGCAGCGGGAGGTTCTCTGGCAGGCATTCTATTGCCAGCAATGGAACATATAGCAATGTCAAGGAGTAAATTACAATACGTCTAAGTGAAGGTGAAGCTTTATATCCTGTGCCAGTGTGCTTTAGGGACATTCCAAAAACTCTGGCACTGAAAAGGAAGCCCAAGCAACTCATGCTATTAGAAGCCTCACTACAGTCTTTCTCCATAACTTCCTTATCATTTGGAAATGAGAGGAGGGAACAGTTTACAAGAATGACTGATACTTTTTCCTTTTAACAGAACACAAAATCTTCTTTGTATGTTAGGAAAATAGAAAGATAATAACATCTTTATATAATGTAAAAATCAAGATTTTATGGCCATATTTTAGTTGACCTTACTTCTAGAAGTGTAAACTAGTTTGTGAAAGGAAACCACTTTATTGGTTTTATTTGGTCCCTAAAGCATATATTCTAGGAATAGGACAAAAATAATATGATGATACTGGTGAGAATTCAATAATTCCACTTCTTTAAAATGAAGGGTAGGGGACTTCCCTGGTGGCGCAGTGGTTAAGTATCCACCTGCCAATGCAGGGGACACGGGTTTGAGCCCTGGTCCAGAAAGACCCCACATGCCGTGGAGCAACTAAGCCACAACTACTGAGCCTGTGCTCTAGAGCCCAGGAGCCACAACTGCTGAAGCCCGCAGGCCTAGAGCCCGTGCTCTGTAACAAGAGAAGCCACTGCGATGAGAAGCCCAAGCACCACAATGAAGAGTAGCCCCCCCGCCACCGCAACTAGAGAAAGCCCGTGCACAACAACAAAGACCCAACACAGCCAAAAATAAATAAATAAAATAAATTATAAAATGAAGGGTCAAGGATATAAAAATGGCCAAAAAGCACATAAGATATTCAACATCATTCGCCATCAGTGAAAAGCAAATCAAAACAATTAGATATTACTTTACACCCACAAAAAAAAGTGTTAATGAGGAGTCTATGAGTGAAATGTGAAATCCTACAGACCAAGCAAATTGGGGTAAGAAACAGAATAAAGGGGTTACAGTGATATAGATCCTTATAGATACTTTAAAAATTGTGTTGCTGAAGAATTTGTTGTGAACTGAACTTTAAAAATATTAGTTTCTCCTTTGACTTTTGCCAACTTTTAAGATATTTTTCAGATTGCACCCCAACTATAGGAATCCACAACTTTTTAGTTTTAGGTTTCTCTCAGAAAGTACAATAGAACTACATTACTTTGAACTCCATAATGTGCAATTCCTGACTATTCCAAAAAGGATTACTTCCCATGAACAAACTACAATGTATACATATGTGTGAATAAAGGTATGAGATACTTAAAAATAGGAGGGTTAAAAAAAACAAACAGGATTGTAAAGATGAACAACTGACTTTCACTCACGTCAGGAATCTGATGTACAAGAAATGGATATGTTACCAAATTTGGTATGTAGATTAACTCTAATTTCAACTTTCTTTCAATATTTTTTCTTGCTAAATACTTTTAGTGCCTTGACTTAAAAATAACTTTGCATTCCTTTCCATTCAGATTGTTTTTATTTCAGACCAGGCTTTCTCGACATCGACTCCAAGTAAGAAAAGGTTTAGCTGCAAGGGTCTATACTCAAACACATTAAGGGTACTTACTGTTTAAAGAAATTATATGTTAAATTTGTACATAAAGTGTCATAGAATGTGAATAATCATTTGTAATAAGGTTTTCTTAACAGAAATATTGAGATATAATTTATATACTATAAAGTTTACCCATTTGAAGTGTCCAATTCTGTTTTTTGTATATTTTCAAAGTTGTACAGACTTCACATAATCTAATTTTAGAACATGTAATAAGTGTTTTTTAAAAATGAATTTATTTATTTATCGCTCTGTGGGGTCTTCCTTGCTGCACGTGGGCTTCTCTAGTTGCAGCGGGTGGGGGTTGTGCGGGCTTCTCATGGCGGTGGCTTCTCTTGTCGCAGAGCACGGGCTCTAGGCACACGAGCTTCAGTAGCTGTGGCTCACTGACTCTAGAGCGCAGGCTCAGTAGTTGTGGCGCATGGGCTTAGCTGCTCCGCGGCATGTGGGATCTTCCCGGACCAGCGCTCAAACCCATGTCCCCTACGTCGGCAGAAGGATTCTTAACCACTGCGCCACCAGGGAGGCCCCTGTAATAAGTTTTTAAGTTTGAATTTTTGCACATCTGGTTTGAGGAGACATACTTAGAAAGTTGTTCATCACAAGTGCCTTCAAGTTAGTTTGGTAAGAAACCCATTCATTTTCAGCATTCAACCAGAGGCACCATACACGTATTTTCATCCTGTTTAAAACTATGATTAGGAATAATTTTTTACTCATTGCAGTTAGTAAATAGACAACAGTTCTGTTACGCCACTTCCATATGACTCCATCATAGATTTATCCTCACAGTCATGTAACTTGGCCACTCTTGTCTTTAACAGGTTCAGTTTCCATTTTCAAAACTAACTTTTTTCACAAAGCCAATCCTTTGCAAGCCAAATTGGAACGAATTGTGTGTGTTTAACCTGATTTGCTTTTCTGAGCTTCTCCTGTTTTTCTGCTAGTTTCATGTTCCTTAAAAGTGGGGTCATAACATAAAATTACCATTTGACCCAGCAACCCACCTCTGGATATATACCCAAAAGAACTGAGAGCAGGAATTTGAAGAGGTATTTATATACCCATTTCCTAAGTGTATATTCACAAAAGCCAAAAGGTGGAAATAACCCGTATCCATCAACAGATGAAAAGATAACTAAAATGTGGTCTACACATACAATGGAATATTAGCCAACCTTAAAAAGGAATTAAGTTCTGACATATAACACAACATGGGTGAACCTTGAAAACATTAAGCTAAGGGAAACAAGCCAGTCACAAAGGGGTACACATTGTATATAAATTGTATACACATTCTACCTATAACAGGCACCTAGGGTAGTCACACTCAGAGAGAGAAAGTAGAATAGTGGTTACCAGGCGCTAGGGTTTGGGATAATGGGTGAGTTATTGTTGAGTGGGTACAGAGAGGTTCAACTTGGAATGATGAAAAAGTTCTGGAGATGATGATGGTTGTACAATATGAAGGTACTTAATGCCACTGACCTGTATACCTAAATATGGTTAAAACTGTAAATTTTAAGTTAGATATATTCAACCACAATGAAATAAAAAGTGGAGTCATCTAAGGTTCAAGCCTCTAAAATAGGATAGATCAAAGCCAGCCTTTGGAATACACTATTTTCATTTTGCTTTTCCTTTATGCAAAGATGTGCATATGAGTTACAAAAGAAACATGCATCTTTATTAATATTCAGTTCTTGCAATAAATATATGACTTGGAAGTTATAGTCCCTTCCCCTTAATTTCCCCCCAACAACTACTGAATAAAAGTATTTCTAAAAATACACATATAAAAATGCCTCTTCTCTAATGTTCAAATTATTATTTATATGTTCACCTTCAGGTTTTGTGTGTAAGTATCATATAAGAGGTAGCACGCTTTATGGTTAAGAATGTGGGCTCTTGTGCTAGACTGCTCTGGTTCAAATCCTGATGCTACCATTGGTGTGTACCTTGGGCTAGTTACTTACCCTCTCTGTGCCTCTGTTTCTCATATAGGAAGATAATACCTACCTCATAATATTGTCATGAGACTAAAATGAATATTACATACAAAAGGTTTAGAAAAGTGCCCGGCACAAAGTACATTATAAATTCCAAGGATTATCTTTACTGTCACTTTTAAAAAGGTACATCAATAACTTGCTTAAAAATGTAAGCATCTCTGACTTCTAATGCATTTTACGTTTTTAAAGGAAAAAGTTGATTGTGCACCTACCCTATACACAGTACTGCTCTTACGTTCAAACTCTTATTTAATAACTAAAGAATTGTTTGTATTTGGAGAATGTTTCGGCACACATAGTGCTCCTGTAGTCACTGTTTCATTTCATCAATCCATAACTACTTTTTATGACAAGATTACTCTTCTTTCACTCTTGAAAATCTACTCGTGTGGGCTCTGATTTTAGAACATTGTTGACAGTATTTCAGTATTTAGTGACTACTGACATCCTTATGGAATAATGCTGCTGGAAGCTATTATAAGCATAGTATTCTTTTCACTTTTTGATACAGGAATACTGATTTACAGTTCTTCCAAGTTGAAATCAGTTGCTTTAGTAACCCTCTAATTCGCCCACACTGCTCATGACTGTTGTTTCATCTTGGGAACTCTTTTTAATATCTTATAGAACCTATTACCCCCAATGCAGATATGGCCCAGTCTCTAGGCATTCTCCATACTGCTGGGATCTTTCATCGGTGTAGGACAGATCCCATGGCATAACATCTCGCTGATCTGATCTCTCCCAATAAAGACGCACAGGTTAATTTTGTCATTACTTTTACGCAACAATGCTACCACACAATCTTGCCTATACAAACTGTGATCACAAATTCTGAAGCAGGAGTGTATCATGGGGTGGCCCAGCTCTGCCTATTAGTGTCAATGGCCATAAATTAGAGAGAATAGTAATAGTTCAGTGAGTACTTCAGATTTTTCCCACTTAGAGAAAAAAAATAGACCTGATTAATTTCCTTGCAGGTCACACTGAGTGGCAAAGCTGGGCCTTAAGCCTAGGTCTGTCTGACAACAAAGTTGATGTTGTGCAACCATGATATTTAATTTTCTCATCCCTCTGACATTCTTTACCATTCTTTGGTTCTCAGTTTTTAATATCTTCAGTGTATGTTCTATAAGCAATGTCTATTTTCTAAGAGACAGCTTTCTAAGAGATGAGATGACTGTTTTATGAGTTCTTTTGAAAAGGGCTATTGCAACGGTATGTGAGCTCAGATGCTGCCTTGTATTTTACCAAGGAGGAAAGGGGGGCCAGGAGGGCATGTTATTATCAAACCTTGAGTATCACCTATTAATTAGAGATTAATTTTTAATAAGTTGTGCTCAGCCTATTGTTATATTTTTTCCTGTATACATATCACCTCTTTAAACGGATCCACAGCTGAGACAGCTACAACTATTACAGCACATTTTGCGTGGTTCTCATCACTTAGTCCCGGTGACTTGCAATGATAGATGCATAAGACATTTTGTGCCTGGTAAGAAAGACTACAGAGATCAATAAATAAAGAACTTGTTCAGTTTGAGACGGGACTTCGAAAGACGACTTGAACTGTCAGTTTGAATAGGTGGAACATACAGCACTTTCTAGGAGAGAAACCTAACATTATTTAAAGTTCATCCCCTTAAACACTTTCTTAAGGTGCTCAGCTGAAGGATTTGTCACGAACGTTCAGGAGTAACTCAGAGACGTCACCACTCGGCACTTCTTTCCTAACAGGGAATTTCAGATTAAGGGAAATAGTTGTCCCTCTGATGAAGGATGAAGAAAAGAAAAAGAGAAAGAGGAGAAAGTAGATGGACTGGGGTGACAGAAAACTTGAGGCTACTTTTTTTAATGGTGGTGTAGAGAACTCAAGGAACCTTCCAATCACTCTACTGCTTTCTTCCCTGATTTTATACAAAATAAGGAATATCTTAGGCCATGTGGGTAAAAACGCTCCTTCTGTATTCTTTACACAACTGACCTTCCAGAGTTCTCAGCAGGATGCTGGCCGAGCCCAGAGTTCAGCCTGCGTTTTCACAGGACTTGTCCTTCCTCTGGTTTCTCCCCCGTCTCTCACGGGGTGCGGTAAACACAACCTCATTGTCCCTCTGCCGTTTACTGCATTTACTTCTGGTCCAGCCTTGCTGCCCCTTAGCCGTGTGCCCTCGCCTCCGGGGCCACTCAGAGAAGTGGTGACTGTGACACGCAAACACACAAGGAAAACCCCACGCTAACCCAGTCGTGCCTGGAAGGCTGGCTCTCTCTGTCTAAAGGTGCTGACAGCGGCCAAGGAACGCATCTCGAGGGCAGAGCGCAGCAGACCCAGGAGCGCCGGCCACGGCGCGGCCTCCTCTGGCCCTGGCGTCCCGTCCCGCACACGCCACCCTCGGACAGCCCAGAGCCCGGAGTATTCACCTACGGCGCTCGCGATCGCCGCCTTCAGCACACGCGCCATCTTGGGAAGCGTTAGCTAATTCCCGACGTACACATGCGTCGGAAGGGCGAAGGCGCGGCGGGGGGCGGGACAAGAGCCCGAAGGGGCGGGGCAGACAAGACTAGGGGGCGGGGCGAGATCCTGGGGGCGGGGCAGACGAGGTTAGGGGACGTGACAAGTGGTGCTGCGTTCCCGTGGGTGTTGGGAGCTGGTCCTCTCTTTTACTACACAACGTATTGAAGTCACCGAGTGCATCTAAAGCAGAAACTTAAAAGGAGGACGCGACACCTCCTGTGGGTCCCTCAGAAATACAAAACAAAAAGTTTGGAGAAAGTTCATCGAGCTGCGATGGCGATTTTCGGTTTCCCGCCCCGTCCCCCGCTCCCCCCACCCCGCGCCCTCCTCTGGGATCTTCCCGGACCGGGGCACGAACCCGCGTCCCCTGCACCGGCAGGGGGGGCGCCAACCCCCCCCCCCCCCCCGGGGCCCCCCCCGGCCCCCCCCCCGCCCCCCTTGGTGAAAGTTCTCGGGCTGCCATTGGCTGTGGCTGGGGGTGGATCCGGAACCTGTTCGCAGCGGAACCTTCGGCTAGCGGCTGCAGTTGGGTGGGGCGCGTCTTTGTGGCGTGGTTTCCGGGCGGCTCTTTCCTTTTGCGTGCGGCGCTGTGGTCGGAGCGGCAGTTAGACATGGTCTCGCGGGTGTGGCGTCGGCGGACCCTGGAGCGGTGCCTGAGGGAGGTCGGTAAAGCCACCGACCGCCCAGAATGCTTCCTCACGTAAGTCCTCGGAGCCCGGGCTCTGGTGCAGCTTAGGACTCGCATGGGCGCGGGGTGCGGACCCTCGGCAAGTTCCAGATTAGGGTGAAGGCAAAGGGAAGGGGAGCTCCCTTTTCCTCAGATTTCAGGTAGTTTACGCTCTCCTAGCCTATCACACTTTTTTAGATGGTTAAGAGCTGTGTAGTGTGGATCTCCCAGTCGTGTGCTGTTGAAATCAAACTAACTGGGTTATTACTGTTTCGAGGCCTCAGTTGCCGCACCCCCCCGCCCCGCCAGACGCACCGGGTGGATTGCTCTTTTTTCCATGTGCTCCCAGAGCACCCAGTGCTTACTTACTCATGAGACTTAATTGAAAGTATTAACTTGTCGCTTATCTATCCACCCCACGACTTGAGCTTCTCCAGAGTTAAGGCTGTCTTTCGTCTCCCTTCCCAGCGCGAGCTCGTGGTATTTTGTTCAAAGACTGTGAAAAGATCTAGGAAATTATGGCTCTCAGATTCATATTTGAAACCCGACCTTGAGGCTCACAGCAACTACAGCCGTACACTCTCAGCATCGCAGATTTAGTATATCCAAAATGAACTGTTGGTTCTGTTTGCTCCCTGTCCTCTGCCCTCCCTGAGATCCTTTCCCCATGCTCACCACCTGCCTTCCCTATCACAGTGAGCAGCACCTCTGTCTTTCCAGTCCTTCAGACAGAAACTAAGCTACTTCCTTGATGTCTTCCTTTTTCTCAATTCTACATCCAGTTATTAGCAAATCCTGTCAGTTAGTTCTCCGAACTGTACTATCCTGAATTTGATTATTTCTCACCGTATTCCCAGCTGTAATCCCAGCGCGGTTCTGCATGCTTTGTCCGGCTGCCTGCATCAGCCTCCTGATCACCCTAATTTCATTCCTTTTCCTCGACAGGCCTTCTTTCCAAAGCATACATTTAAATCATTTTTCTGCTCCTCAAACTCAACTAGTGCGTTTCTGTCTTAGGAGATTTGTTCTTGCTGTTTCTTCTGCCTGGAGTACATGTTTCCACAGCTTTGTAAGACTGTCTCCTTATAAATAGGTATCATCTCAGGTGTCACATCCTCAGAGAGGTATTCTCTGACCACTCTTACCAAAGCAAGTGTTGACTATGGGCTGACTGAATGGAGTGGCCTGTAATATAGCAGAGTTGAGAATTTAAGGTTAAGATTCACCCTCTAGGCAAATAGATCTGTCACGGTTTCCCTGTCTAAAATCCAGATAGCAGATTCACAGATACTTGGTTGACACCTTTTATATACTAATGTGGTTCTTTGGCAAGATAATACACTGTTGGGGGCCAGAATCTATACATACTTAAAATTGACATTTCATGTGCAGCAACCTGGATGGACCTAGAGAATATTATGCTTGGTGAAGTCAGTCAGACAGACAGAGGAAGACAAATACTGTGTGTTATCACTTACATGTGGGATCTAAAAAGTAATACAAATGAATGTATATAGCAGGACAGAAACAGACTCACAGATATAGAAAACAAAATGGTAGTTACCAGTTGTGTGGGGGAGCAAGTTAGGGTTGTGGGATTAAGAAATACCAACTACTATGTATAAAATAGATAAGCAACAAGAATATATTGTATAGCAATGGAATTGTCTTGGCCATTATCTTGAAATAACTTTTAATGGAGTATAATCAGTAAAAATACTGAATCACTGAAACTAATATAATATTGTAAATCAGCCATACTTCAGTTTTTTTAAAATCTGATTTTGCCTAATAGTTGGGCTTTTTAAAAAAATTCTGAGTGCTGTGAAATTGTTACCTATAATTGTAAATCTAATTTAACTTCTCCCTGCCCCCTTAATAGCATTCAAGATGAACTGGCATCAAAGTTTACTTCTTTAACAAAAGTACTTTATGACTTTAATAAAATACTAGAGAATGACAGGAAACGTGGAAGTCCTTTACAAAGACTGATGATAAATAATTTTGATGATGAGCAGATTTGGCAACAACTGGAATTGCAGAATGAACCAATTTTACAGTACTTCCAGAATGCAGTTAGTGAAACCATTAAAGATGAAGACATCAGTCTTCTGTCAGAGAATGAGGTGCAGGAGTGTGGAGAGGATGCCTCGGAGATGGAGGCCAGTGGCGAGGAGGACCTAGAACAAGATTTGGAAGAGGAGGAAGAGAAAGTGTCAGACCTGAGTGGTGATGATCCTGAAGAGGATGAGAGAGCTATAAACTCAAGCAAATTGGATCTGAGGAAAAGCCCAGATTTCAGTGATGAGGACTCTGATCTTGACTTTGATATCACCGAATTGGAACAGCAGAGCAAGGTGGAAAACAAAGTGCCTAGGAAACCAACAGAAAAGTCCATAGTAGATGATAAATTCTTCAAACTCTCTGAAATGGAGAGCTTTTTGGAAAACATAGAAAAGGAAGAGGAACAAAAAGATGATGAAGAGGAGGAGGATATTGATTTTTTTGAAGATGTCGATTCCGATGAAGACGGAGGACTGTTTGGAAGTCCGGATCCTAAGGTAAAGTTTTGGGAGAGGACAGAGCATTCTTTCTGCCTCCTCACATTAGATGGGGTTCTGTTTCTCCAGAAGAGATTTAAAATACTTCAAAACTCACCAGGGCATAAGTGAAATATTTAGATCAGTTGAAAAAAAAAAAAGACTGGAAAAATTAAACCAAAGCCATTGTTTCCTTATCACAGAATACTTGTTTTGTAGCTTCAGAACCACAGTCACACATGTTAGAGAGATTCAGAATTTTCCCTCAAACATGGATTTTCATCAAGCACTAGAAATAAGAGTGAAAGGAAGGCATTTGTATACTTTATTTAGGCAGGGATATTTTGGAAATAATTGTAGTTAGAAGATTTAGAGAGAAGAATATCATGCTCTATCTAATCAGTCATAAATCAGTCTATACTGCCATTCAGTTTGTTGTGGTATAATAGTTCTTAGGGTTTATGGTAGTGTTTTTAGTTGCCAATTTCCCCTGTACAGTATGCATACACATTTATGCATGATTTAATGTATTTTTCTGTCCTTGATTTAAGGTCTTAAAAGTATTTATGTTTTAGTCAGGTAAAAGTTCCAGAAACCTGAAATACAAAGATTTCTTTGATCCAGTTGAAAGTGATGAAGACATAGCAAGCGTCCATGATGATGGTGATGAACTTGCTTCAAGTGAAGAGGAAGAAATTGCTGAAGAAGAAGAAAGCTTTTCTGAGATGTGAGTATTTTGAATCCTTTACACTATAAGCTGGAGGTACCCCATCCTATTTGTGTACTTCTGGTTGTCAGCTGTGATTGTCCTAAGAATTGGGATTCTCTAAGATCAGAGAGTAGATTCACTAAGATCAGAGAACCTCAGGATAGCCAGAGGAAAGTCTCCAAATTTGAAGGGACATCAGAGATGATCTAGTGCAGTTAAGCGTCACTGGCACTAGCACGCAAACCCTTCTTACCAGGAGCTCTGATTTGTTTTTTTGTGTCAGTAAAAATACCCTGTTGTTACTTTGGTGAGATAAGTTTGTATTATAGATTGATGAAAAATTTGTTTTCTATATATTGGACACTTGGTTCTGTTTCACCTAAATAATTCCTTCTGTTCGTTCTGAATATTTAATTGCATTAAGTCTACAAAAGAAGAACTTTAATTACTAAGTTTGTTTCTTTTTGTTTTTCTAACAGAAAGTGGTGTGTTTCCTTTCATAAGTGTTTTGGTCTTACAGGGATGAAGATAATGACCTTGAAGAAAGTGGAGACAGTAAGCAACACAAAGAAACCTTGAAAAGAGTGACCTTTGCTTTGCCAGATGATGAGGAAACTGAAGATGCAAATGTCTTAAATGTACAGAAAGACTCTGCTGAAGTCAAATCCTCTTTTGAAATAAGACAGGAAAAGGTAATAATCAGAAATTTTAAGAGACTTTTTCATATGCTTGACATGACTGTGGAAATCACAGAATACTAACTAATCTACCCTGTTTTGTTTTTTGTGGTTTTTTTGGTGGAACACTTAACTGTCCTTAAAAAAAAAAAAAAAAAAAAAAAAAAAAAAAAAAAAAAAAAAAAAAATCGTGCAGCCGCTTTCTGTACCACACTGTATAGAGATAACCATGTGGGAAGCAACTAATTTGCAAATATCAATGCTGCATTTCCCAACCTGTGGCTTTCAACCTGGGGCCCGTCTGTAAAACTTGTTTCTTTTCTTTCTCCATGCTGTCTTTATTATCTAGGGCATGTT